AGGGTGACATTTTCAGAATTGCATAAACGGCAGGGTGACATTTCCCAAAAAAATAAAACAATCTAATTACTGCAGGTGACATTCTTTATGAAGATGGTTGAATCTGTAAGTAAATTACAGGAGAGAAAGATGAGCTCCCATATTGATGGTATTGAAATGGATTCAGATGGAGTTTACCCCAAGGATTAACTTTTTATTAGACATACAGTTGGATTCTATCTAAAATTCAGAATCGCAAAAATGTAAAACTTCACAAAATGTCTTATTGATGCAAAATTGCTACTACAAAACATGACATATAAACAAGATTCTTTTAAAAGTTGAATTCTACTTGACAATACGATTATCTTAAAATAGAATCACAATTGTCGGTTATCCAAACTCCAGTGGATGTAGAAATGAGTGTAACTAATCTATCCCTACACAGTAAGTATTAGAAAAACTAGAAGAGGACTACTGGTTAATAAACACTATCAACTTAATGAAGTATTTTTTGCTATGTGCACAACAAATATTCAACTTACACATCTTTCTGTATAACGTTGCACTTCCAAAAACAAACATTGTAAATAGGCTATTCTACCCAATTTCCACATCTTATTAAATTATACAAAAATAAATAAATATTTCCTACACCTCTGCCAGGAGAAAAAACTAGAAAAGCTAAATGAATTGGCCATCATATTCTTCTTGTAAATTATTGAATTAACATATTTAAGTCTGGAGATATTTTTATTGTGTTATTTTATGTATCTTAACTTTGATCCATGGAAGAACATCTCCAGTTTACGCAATTAAGATAAATAGTACAATGCCGGGATTCCCAATACATACATTACATTTTCTCAACATTGTCATTTATAATTGTTCAGGCTCCAAGCGAAGTAAATAAAAAAGAAACGAATTTATCAAGAAAACGAACAACCCCACGCCCGATTTAGTATTGTTGAAGCGACATCAATTTACCAACGCTGAATATATTCAGAAGATTCAACAAGAAAACGCTAAATGTCAGCTTCAAGAATTCAATTCAAAAATCCAGAAAAAAACAATAAAGTCAACCAAGAACCCAAAATCGGCACTTCAAGAAATGATCAATATCAACCAATTCAACTAAAGCACAGTTAGTTTTCATTTTAATTACTAACTCCACAAAATCCAAAAAAGCAAACATAAAAAGAAATAATCCTCTTCGAAAAATAGGCACCGGTAAATAATGGATAAACAGAAAAAACTACAAACTTATAATAATGAAAATCAAGATAATAGATGTTTAACTTTTCAACAATAGAAAAAATACCTGTTTCTTGAGTTGCGCCGGCTCTAGAATAAGAATCAAGGATCTGTACTATTGGTGAAATAGAGAAAATGGGAAATTATGGTCAACAAAGACAATGGTGTGCTTGAATTAATTAGAGGGAGAAGAGTTTTTAGCATTGGTTTTGACAGATTTATTGACCATGCCAAATCTAGGGTTTGTGATTTTGGAATGTGAATGTGATAGGAAGAAGGAGACGAGATTTTGATTTGGGAAATGGGTCCTTTGAATTTTGTTGTTTTGTTTTGCTATAAGGGTATTTTAGACAGTTTATATTTTTAATATTAAAATATTTATTTTAACTTTAATATTTTGGTCAAAGGCTATTTTTCCAAACAAACATTGTAAATAGGCTATTCTACCCAATTTCCACTTCATAAATTAAGTCAAAATTTGTGGAAAAGAAATAAATTTGCAGTTCCAGAATGGATGGGATTTTGGATGTTAGTGGATGAATCTATAAATGAGTCTAGCTTCATTTTTCTTTGAAGACAGAATAACTTTTCGTTTTGCCAAAATATGTCCTCTCTGACTCTTTCCAGTAGCTCCTCCATTTTTGTTGCTGTTTTCTATAGTGCTTCAAAAACGAACTAGAATCTTCCATCTTTGATATTTTAGTCGAAGAAATCTGCCCCTAAAACCCTCTTTGATTACTGTCTTTTCTGTTTTTCTGGTAGAAGAAATTGTTGCCGGGAAAGTAATACTTTCCGATCGTCATCTTTTTCTTCAGGTGTCTTTTGATAGGCCTTTTCTAACGCGATTTTTTTGTGGTTAATCATGCCATTTTCCACGGACGGTACCAATATGTTGACTGCAAAAAATGCGCTAACAGAATTCCGACCACGTCCTCTGCATATAGACTTACTTGCACACTGAACTCCCGTTAGAATATAAAGGCCGCTGATCGAGAAAAATGTACGACAACCATTTACACTCCGACAGCAAAGTCAATGACCGGAGGAGAAAAATATGAGTGCAAACGAGGGAGAAGGAATTTTGACTAGGGTTGGAAAACATAGCTTATTATGAAATTAATCACATATTTATAAAGAAATAAATGGATCAAGTAGGCATGACGGGCTAGGCTCCAAGTCCAAAATGCAATTGTTTAATTAAGCCCCCGTTTGATCCCCATTTTTGGGTAATGAAAATGGGAGGAATAGTATTTTTTTGAAAAACGAGAGGTTGAAAAAGAAGGAAAAATTTTCGATTTACGTGTAATATTATTTTATAGAAGATTGTGTGATTAAAAATAAAAGAGAGAAAAATAAAATGTAATGTAATGGGGCTCAAACGGGGGCTAAAAGGATCCAATCAATTAAATAGTCGATGCTACGTCAGCTAATATGGGAATTTCTTCGTCACGTGCATGCCACGTAATTTATGGATATAACACCTAACATTTATTGCCTGCGTGTGAATTTTACAAAGTTCTAACTTATTGTAAATTTTTCAACACTACAAGAAGTAAACTCTAAATATACTAACTGCTAGTTTTTGAATTAAAATTAAGAAAATATAAGTTTCATCTTCAACTAATCCAAAAAATATTTAATATAACATGATTTCTATAAAATTACAAGAAGAATAATATAAATTTATCATCCTGAACATATGAATACAAGAAGTATTGTCTTCAATTTCAAGTTTTATATTTTCAAGTTCTTGATGTAATTAGCATTCAAGTCCTTGCTGTGTTTTATCTTAATATGATGATTTAAAAATCATCATCTTGATTGATTATGTGATATGACGAGGTATGAGATGTTAAAGAGAGATCCTTTAATGTTTTGCCCTTTGTCCTGTACTTATATGTGGCAAAATTCGGTTAAGAAATACATCCAAATTGAGTTCAAAAGAATTCATATCACAAAAGAAAAATTGGTCTTTGTCATCCAGAGAATATTCATGCCCACTCATGGGCAAGTGAAATTGGCTTTGGAAGTGAAAAATATGGCCCTGGTGCACGCAAGGAAGATGAATTTTTTTACTTTGGATTATCGTTAGATTGACTCCATATGATTTTCAATCTTCATTTTGTGGGTTGAATCAAATATCACCCAAACTTTGAAAATCATCATTTTTTGTCGATTTTGGTTCCTTTATTCTAATTTCTCTTCAACTTGTTAAGTTTCACCTAACGGACAAAAAATACACAAGATTAAGATATAATTTATCAAAAGTACTCCAAAATATTTTCATTCAATGGTCTAGATAAGTGTATAAATTAGCTATTTTTGAAGTTATAATGTTTATTTTTGTTTAAACTGTTTAGGATGGTTGAAAATTTGTCTTTTTGTGCCTACTTACCTGTTTAGAGAAATGTTAAATCAGATATTTAAGAGAATTTTCAATGTATTTTGTGAATTGCAATCTACATGGTAATCAAATAGACAGACTTTTGGTGCACGTGACAATAATATTTAGGAAATAGCTAGTATAGTTCAAAATCGGTCTTCACTGGTTCCACTTCTCTTGTCCAGGTAGATATAAATAATAATTTTGCATATACATCTACATTAAATAATAATTTAAATAGGAGTAATTCATATTTATTGATAATAAGACATATTAGAGAGATGTATCTTAGAAAACTAAGTTAGCTATATTCTCAACAGAAAAAGTGACATATAATTTAGGACAAATAAAAGGAAAACAAATATATTTTCATGTGATAGATGGAGTACTATTTAGCATCACTAGTGCTATAAAATCAGTTTAGGTAGCATTAAGTGGTATCAAATGAGACAAAATTAAATGAATTACATAATGATACTTTTAATTGAATCAATCACATTATGCAGCCTAAATTGATGCTCTAACACTAATAGTACTAGATAACATTATTATTTTATAAAAATGCTATTCACTACTATTGATGTTATGACGAGTAATTCTATTAGCATCACTAGTGTTATGACACCAATTTAGGTTTCACTAAGTGACGTTAAATTAGAAGCACAATTAAACGAACATATAAATAACATTACTCTATCTAAAAGGGTGATTATGAAATATATATTCGTAAGTTTTGCCAAACATGCACTAGGTCAGCCAAATCCACAAGGAGTTCGAATGGAGGTGGTCATTCCATATGGCCCCCCGACACCCCATTGTCACAATTTTTTTATTGTGTTCTACTATTTGTACATCAGTTTTGACACTCCTCTCTTAGGCCATTTCTAGTGTTGCACCACATATTGTACAATTTTGATCCAAATTTTACACTAAACTAAAATTCATCTCCAACTATTATACCAAAACTTACACCAAATGGATACTATTTAATTATTTTCTTCCCTTTTTTTTATCTTAACAATTTATTTATTTGAAAATTTATTTATTTTATTATTTTATAAATACATAAATTGCAAAATAAATAATTACATTAAATTACGAAAAAGATTAAATTCATTAATAAATATAAAAAACATAGTACAATTTATGAAAACACTACAACAATGAAAAATATTAAATTATGTCATTAAAAAATAGTGCAACGCATTCGAATTAGGATACTAGGATATCACGAAGTCGAAATATTATTGCAATTTAATTATCAGAATTCATATCGTTTTCTTCAAATAAAATTAGAATATTGTATGTATGTTGTTGTTTAATATATTTTGTGTTTACTTTAAGAAATAGTTGTGTTTGTTATATTTTAAAATTTTTTTTCCTTCAATTAATTCATTAATTATTATTTTTTATAAAATTTATTTTAAATGCAAATAATAATAATAATAATAATAATAATAATAATAATAATAATAATAATAATAATAATAATAATAATAATAATAATAATAATTTATTGTATTAAAAACACAAATGACACGAATACCTTTAATTAATTTATTTGGAAAATGAAAAGAAAGGGTAAAAATTACTTTGTACACTTTGCATTAGTGTTGTATTAAAGTTGTTTTGCACCAAAAAATGGTGAATTTTTGTGTTTTGGATTATAAATTGGAGATGACTTTAGGGATGTCAAACGAGTCGAGTGGCTCGTCAAATGACGAACCCAAGCCTGAGCTGAGCAGGGGGCTCAATCCCACAAGTCGACGAGCGCTCATGAACCGTGTGCCCACGAGCCCTTTTTTGATGCTTGTCAAAAAATATGTAAATTTATAAAAAAAAGTAAAAAATGTGCAAATTTATCCCAAAAAAAAAGAGAAAAATTAAAAATAAAATAAAATACGAGCTCGCGAGCGACTGGTGGTTTTAGCTCGACTCGACCCGCAAACTCGAGGGTTAAAGTTCCGGCCCATTGCCATGACGTCGAGGGGGGCATTTTCCTTTTATATTGGGCATCCCCCATCTTCTGGCTGTACACCAGCTTTACCCTTTGGCACCCATTGTAGGTCGGAGCTCAAAAGGTCCTACTCACTTTCAAATCGAATTGTGGAAGAACTAAGAAGACAATCGGAGAGCAGTGAGAATGACAAGGGAAATATACGGAGTCAAGATTCAAACAAATCCTCCTCAATCTAAGCTTGACGATCTCGCTATCTCGTCCTGGCCAACGTACGTACATTCTTCTTCTTCTTCTTCTTCTTTTTTTTCCCCATTCTCTCTCTCTCTCTCTCTCTCTCTCTCTCTCTCTCTCTCTGTGTGTCTGCTTGTTCAACTATTTTAAATTTGTGCATTTTTCTACAATCAATTACAATACGTCTAATTGAAACCACTTTTTTTAATAGTTTTGTTTCGGTTGACACGAGCATCGTCTGTTTTAACCAGAATACTGGTGTCTAGAGCAGGGTAGTGAGTCTTCTGTCCTATATTCTTTCATTAGTTCTAAGAATAAAAGTTGAAAGTGCTTAATATTTCGGTATTTTGTTAACCGCAAATATAATAGTGAGCAGTCGAGTAATCCCTTGCCAAGGAGATGAAAAGTGTTATTTTGCTTCTTGATGCATGTTTCATTATTATATATGAATTACCCTTGATGCCAAAGTAGATGAGAAATCAGAACAACTGGGACAAGAAGCCCAACAAGAATTGAACCGATTAGGCTGAGAGAGATCTAATTTGCAACCATAAGCGTTTGTTGTTCAAGCGGGGGGGATCACTGAATTTCTCACAATTGACAAATTCACTATTAAAAAGCTGATTTCTCCCTCACTTTACGTAATTTAAAGAAAAATGCTGTAATCTCCCCTCTAGTTTCATATATAGGAAATTCAAAGAAAGTTACCATCACAATGCCAAGTTGATGAAATGCAGGTGATCATGGAAAACATATGCTTGGTAGATGTGCTTTGTACCGCTTTGTGTAACTAGCAGGTATCATAAACCACAGGTGGCTAATGTAACTTGCTCTTTGTGGGGGTCATTATTACAAATGAAGTTAGAAAAAATGTGCCCAAGGGAGGAGTAAGAGATAGAATGTCTATATTATTGCTTTTAACTTTTGCAAGTTGTATACATAAATGCTAGGGAACGACTTGTGTGTCATATAATGAGCCAGTGGGAAGAAGGAAGAATAGAACCAGGCGGGGAATGCAAAACCAACAACAAATAACTATAATTTGAAGTGCATTGAAGTCACCATATATCACTTGAGGTTACCGTATATCTCTGAAGTCACTGTTATCACCGAAGCCACTGTATTTACATCAAGTCACCGTATTTACATTGAATTATCATTATCACTCAATCACCCTATTTACATCAAGTTACCGTTTATTTCCCAAGTTATTGTATTACAATTAAACAGACGACACCGCTTCTTTTCAGTAAATTGTAATAGATAGAAGTGCATTTTACAATTCATTTAGAAATACGTTTTCTTCTGCAATAATTAGTTATATATACTGAATCATGTGCTTAGGAAGGGATCAGTTTTGTCATCTGCAAATTCAGTTGAACTGTTGAGAAAATCAAATTTCCGCTTCCTCTCACTTCTTATTTTGCTTCTTTATCCTTTTTATAAATTCTGTTTTACTTTTAAATTGTTTATCAATTCGGCTAATTTAGCTGAAGTGAGTTAGTTTGTTGATCAGTTGTGGGTGTGAGTTGCAAGGTCAGATTTAACCCATAACAAATTGGTATCAGAGCGGACGTATTAGACTGGAAAATTTCTGATCATGGACACGAGCAAAAGCTGTAGATGAACGTTTTAAGAAACTGGACTTGGAGATAGGTGATTTGGGTACAGCTTAAAAGGCTGTTACCGGATTGGAATCCTCACATCAAATGCTTCAGGTACTTTGTCTTCGAAAAGAAAAAAAATTGAGGATGCCGTGCTTGACATGAATCACAAGTATGAGAAAATGATAGTTACAATGGCTCAAATGTCTGCTAATTTGAAGACTGAGGAATTAAAAGGTGGAAAGGTCTATTATCAATTCGAGATCTGATAGTGTGTTATCTACAAAAGGTAATAGTAGCTGTGAGAATAGAAGTTATGCTAGAGGTGAATTCAAGGGAAGCAATACATTACCAAAAATTGATTTTCACACTTTGAGGGAGATGGACCCGGTGATTGGCTGAGGAAAGCCAGGAAGTATTTCCAACTCCATCAAGTCCTTGATGAACTTAGAATGGGGATTGCATAGATGTACTTGAAAGGGAAGGCTGATAGATGGTTTGATGGCTTCATTGCAAGCCATCCTGGTGCAGATTGGAACCTATTTTATGAGGAAATTTGTAGAAGATTTTCAGAAACCAAAGGTGGAAAGGTGATTGAATCATTTAGCAAGATAAAAAAGTGGGTCCAATGACTGAATATTAGGATAAATATGAAGAATTGAAGGCCCAGGTTATGTTAGCCCTACTTCATGTTCCGGAATCTTATTACATATCTGTATTTACCAGTGGATAGAAAGTAGAGATAAGATCCATGTTTAAAATGATGAAACCTGATACCTTAACCAAGGCATTTGAAATTGCTTGCCTAGAGGAATCAACCATTCTAGCCATTAACAGATTCCAAAAATCAAAGAGCATCACACCCCCAGACTTCCAAACAAAAAGAACCTGGGGGTTTGTCACAAATGTGATGAAAAATTCACCATAGGACATATCTGCAAGATTAGATCCCTGAACTTCATATTGCTAGATGAAGATGAAGAGGTTGAGCCAAATGAGGATAAAGAATATGAGTCTGAAGAGGAACAAGGGGGTGAAGAGATCATGGAGATATCTATTAATGTTGTGGCTGGGAGTGTAAGCACAAAACTATAAGAATGTCTGGAATAATCAAAGGAAGAAAGATATCCATATTGATTGACAGTGGGAGTATCCACAGCTTTGTGGATGAGAAATTAGTTAGAGTGCTTAATTGTGCTACTAATGAATATAGAGTCATGACAGTCAGGGTAGCCAATGGGCACAAACTGGAAAGTAAAGCTGTATGCCAACCATTGGTATGTGGAGTACAAGGTTGGGACTTTCAGTGCAAGTTAAGAACTCTTAAGCTTAGGGATAGTAACATGGTACTAGGAGTGAATTGGATGAGCCAAAGCACCCAATCAGGATGATAGAAATGAAGGAGGTGGAGAAATTGTTTAATAGACATTTATATGGTATTGTGGGATAGTCGTACACAATCAGTGATGAGAAGCAAGGGAATACACCCAGCATGATACTAAATGCTATCAATCAATTTTCACGAGTGTTTGAAGAACCAAAAGGCTGACCTCCCCCTAAATCATTACTAGGAGTGAATTGGATGAGCCAAAGCACCCAATCAGGATGATAGAAATGAAGGAGGTGGAGAAATTGTTTAATAGACATTTATATGGTATTGTGGGATAGTCGTACACAATCAGTGATGAGAAGCAAGGGAATACACCCAGCATGATACTAAATGCTATCAATCAATTTTCACGAGTGTTTGAAGAACCAAAAGGCTGACCTCCCCCTAAATCACGACCACCACATTTCCCTAAAAGAAGGAGCCCAACCATTTAAGATCAGGCCTTACAGACGCCCCTTTATTTAGAAAGCTTAGGTAGAAAAGCTAGTCAAGGAGATGCTGAATAGTAGGATCATACAAGCTAGTAACAGTTCTTTTGCCTCTCCAGTCCTCTTAGTCAAAAAGAATGATGGATCTTGGAAATTTTGTGTGGATTATAGGCGATTGAACAACCTAACCATCAAAGACAAACTTTTCGTGCCACTCATTGATGAACTATTAGATGATCTCAATGGATCAAGATACTTTTCCAAGATTGATCTCAGGGCCGGCTACCAACAGATCAGAGTCACTGAACAGGATGTACACAGGACTGCATTCGATGGTTGTATGAATTGAAGGTGATGCCCTTTGGCCTCACCAATGCACCAGCTACCTTCCAAAGCTTTGTCTTCTCTGATATGTATTTGTCTTCTTTGATGACGTACTAGTATACAGTTTAGATTTGACAAATCATTGCCATCATCTTAAGACAGTATTAGGATTGTTGCTGAAGCACCAAATGAATGCCAAATTGTCCAAGTGTAGTTTTGGACAATTGCAGGTGGAGTATTTAGGTCATATAATCTTTCAGCTGATCCTAGTAAGATTGGAGCAATGCAACTCTAGCCTAGCCCCCAAGAACATCAAGCAGCCGAGAGGATTCTTGGGTATGACTGGGTGCTAAAGAAAGTTTGTCAAGCATTTTGGTATACTGGCCAAACCCCTTTCAGACCTTAAGAAGGACTACTTTCAATGGTCAGAAGTGGCAGATTTAGCCTTTTATCAAATTAAACATGAGTTCAATTCCAGCGTTGACCTTACCTGATTTTAACAAGCCATTCATTATTGAACTGATGCATGTCATATAGGAATGGGGTTATACTGATGCAAGAAAGAAATCCCATAGCATATTTAAGCAAAGCTATAGAGTTGGAAACATGGGAATGTCCATTTATGAGAAGGAACATTTGGCTTTAGTTACAGCAATGAACAAATGGAGACACTACCTAGAGGCAACCACTTTATCATTAAGCGCTTGTTTGATCCCATTTTTCAATAATACATTTTTCTCTAAACTCATTTTCAACTACACATTCTCTTAATAAAATAATTTTGCACGCAAATCTAAAGCTTTTTAAATCTCCAAAAAATCACTATTCCAAAATCTGTTTTTACTGAATAATGGGGCTCAAACAAGGACTAAAACTGACCATCAATCTCTCAAATACCTATTTGTACAACAGATTACTACTCTCCTACAACAGAAATGGCTTACCAAGCTGTAGGGACTCGGCTACGAAATCATGTACAAAAGGGGTGTCATTAACATAGTGGCTGATTCCCTTTCAAGAAGGCAGGAGAGAGACCCGAAATGTTATAGGATTACAGCTGTAACACCTATCACAGACAGCTACAAGGAGGATGGATTGGCTAAAGAGAAGATTCAATCCCTATTGTTATGTGTTGGATCTGATCCTGACTTACCACGGGCAGGATGTCCATTGGGATCAGTTTTGTGATCTGCAAATTCAGTTGAATTGTTGAGAAAATCAACTTTCCTCTTCCTTTCACTTCTTATTTTGCTCCTTCATCCTTTTCTAAATTCTGTTTTACTCTTAAATTTTTTATCAATTCAACCAATTCAGCTTAAGTGTCAACTTGTTGATCAATTGTGGGTATGAGCTGCAAGGTTAGATTCAACCCATAACAGTGTGGACTTAGAGAAACTCCAGTTCATCTTTAGAAACTTGAATGTTGAACACGTTGCACCACAACTTTACTTTGTACAAGAGATAGCTGATCACCATTAAATCTATTGAGCTTGCTTAGTATCTGATTTGTATAGATAGATTGCTTGTGTTGATGATAATATATATTGTATGAACAGGTGGAGCTGTGAACCGAGCAAATTTCCATGGACATTTACTGCAAAAGAGACAATGTATCTATTAGCAGGAAAAGTGAAAGTTTACATTGATGGCCAAGATGGGTTCTTTGAAATAGGGGCTGGTGATCTGGTTGAATTTCCAAATGGAATGAAGGTCACTTGGGATGTAGTCGAAGCTGTGAACAAGCACTATAACTTGGAGAAGTGATATTCTTTAAAGTCCTAAATGAATCGTTTTCTTAACCTGTCGCTTTATGATTTATGTAAACGATAATACTGAATTGCTAGTCAAGCTAGTTTTGATTGATAACCGTGACAATTTATGTAAGCTAAATCTGATTCGCAACATAAAAGTTGTTATGTTGAATATCAAATTCTTTCATCATTTTGTTTGTCCCAGTAACATAATTTTTAATGACCCAATTTCTAACAAATTAAATCGTTACCAAAATTTTCATTCCATAATTAAATAAATTTAGTCAAACCTCCAACATAAAAAGTTTTCTAGTTCTATCTATAAAATAAATAAAACATACGGAAAACATAATTAATTGAAACATGTCCTTAATCCTAAATAGCAAATTTCACATGAAAATAAAAATTGGAATAACACTAAAAATAGAAGTTCATAGTCATATTACTTAGAATTTATTTATTTTGAATTCCACAATTTCTGGCACCACGACTGC